CTCTCTCTCTCTCTCTCTCTCTCTCTCTCTCTCTCTCTCTCTCTCTCTCTCTCCCTCCGTTTCCCCTCCCGCTCCTCCTCCCGTTCTTTCTACCGCCCCTCCTCCCGCGCCTCCTCCGCCTCTTCCTGTTTCTCCTCGTGCTCCTCCTTCCGCTCCTAACCCCCTCCCCGTTTCCCCTGCCGCTCCGTCTCCAGCTCCTCCTCTCGCGGCTCCTGCGCCCCTTCGCATTTCCCCTCCCGCTCCTTTTCCCACACCTGCTCCCGCTCCTCCTTTTCCCGCTCCTTTTCCCATCCCTCCTTCCACTCCTCCCGCTACTCCTCCCGCTCCTCCTCCGCCAAACAACGTGACAAAGATCCCGCCATAGCCAGCGCTACAGTCCATGCACGGCACTCTCGCAGTCCGCACCCCGCTGCCACCCCGCTGCAGCGCCACCGCCCACGCACCGCACTCCCCACAGCCCCACGCGATGTACACCCCGACCTGTCCCCGCCGTGGATGCGAAGCAACGAAAGCTCCGATAACCTCCTCTCCCGCCGCGCTAAAAAGAAAAAACAAAAATCCTCTGTCCACGCACCAAACTCCCCACAGGCCCACGCGATGCACACGCCGCGCTCGCGCTCAAAAAAAAGAACAAACGCACAGTCCACGCACGCACTCCAGTCCCGCCACCCAATGGCCGCCCACGAAACGCCGCCGAATTCCCTTGCCGCAGTCCCGGCCCCGCCGCACCGAATTTCACTGGGCCCAGCGGGAAGCGTCACGCTGGGCCCTTTGCATTCTTTAAGAGTATAGGGGAAACAGGCATCATCTGGCAAGGGAACTGTAGACACAGAATGTGAGAGAGAGAAGTAAATTGTGTGTAGGGATATTAGGAGAGTACCATAGGCGGGCACACCATAGCGGAGCTTCTGCATTGTTGTTGTATTGGTCGTTGGAAGTGAGAAGTGGTCTTTCCTTTGTCAAGAGATTTCACTGTTCAGTGTGTTGTCATTTGGTGTGCTCTTGGCTTTTGTAACTCTGATTTCAACTCTGCTCACACATGCTTGGTCAGGTACGAGTCTCTTGCAGCTCGGCGATCTGGTGTTCCGATTGGTTGGTCTGTTGCATAACCGTTCCTCTGCAACGGAACATAGGTCCTGACGATTGCTTTTCAGGATGATAGTGGCTAGTAGTGAGATCCGACAGGATGAGGATGATGGCAATGATGGTAACAAGGATGATGTTGATGATGAATAGAACAATGCTCGTCGGAGCGGAACGGATGGTGGTAGAGCAGATGGTTGTTTGTAATGAAACAGATGCTGATTATGGCTGCCGATGAGTTAATTGACAGCAAATGATACATGTCAAAGCCTTTGTTTCTTGCTGTTCCTGGGCCCCGTTCCACATCCCTCCCCTCCCCGGACACCTTCCCGTCCTCTTCCTCTGCCTCACAGACGTGAACATTTTATGCTCTCGGTAAGCCCATTGGTCACTCCAGGCTCAGGAAGTTAATGACTCCATACAATTTCTTTGACTTGTATGCGTGTTTTGCCTCTGGGTGACATGGCTATCTCTGCAGGCCCTTTGTTTTTCCTGTTCGTTTTCCCTTCATGTCGATTGTCTTTATCACAATGTGATCAGTCTGCATGAGCCTCGACGTATGGAATATGACGTAGTGTGAGCTAGCAAATATCATCAACCACCGTATCCTTCCGCGCCGGCAACCTGCACTGTGTGAAGTGCTTGCTAAGGGAGCTGATGAGAAATTGAAGCATCTCGTCGGTGACAGGAGAACCCTTGCCAGCAGCAGCAGCACCACGACCATTGCGATCAGCACCTCCACAACCTCCACCACAATCACCGGTGTCATACCACCAACAGCAACAAACACATGTCAATGGCAACGAGGCAGATATCCTGCTGCATAAATATGTGGTTTTCACAACCTTTATTAGCAGCCATGCAGTCAGCACTCTTGATCCTGATGCTGCTGATTGGGGTCTGGTCACAGGCAGAGGCCGTGGCTGGCACTGCAAGATCATTATCACGATTTCCACACGTCCAGTCTACTTCGCGTTCACATGCCCATCCACACTCCGGTTTACATCCACACTCATCCACACTATCAAGGTCCAAGACTTGGGCGACAGATGTCTTGTGGCCATTGGTCTCCAAGGCGCCAGAGCGTGCCTTTCATTCCCATTCCTTGAAACATCTGCAAGCAACTGGTACAAAGAAGGTGGCAGCGAGAAAGACATCATCGTCTTTGTTCTGTGATGATCCGGAAGGAAGCGGTGCTGCAAACTGTACCAGCAGTGATAGGGCCCTCATCGCACGGAACTTTGTGAGACGGGAAGGGCTAACATTTGAGGTTGGGGATGAAAAGTTCTATGTCAACGGATGGAACACGTATTGGCTGCTGAGGAAGGCAAGTGATACCAGGAGTCGACTCCAGGTGGAAAAACTGCTGCTAATTGGAGCATCCATGGGAATGACTGTATGCAGGACTTGGGCCTTCAACAATAATGGTGCTGACAAACCTCTTCAGAAACAGCCAGGGGTATTTGATGAGGCCGTCTTTGAGGTAGGTACCCCAGACCTTTCACATAGTAGAGCTCTGGGCCACTTCGTTCCGTGGACCAGCAGCTGTCTTTCTCTGTCTGATCTGGGCTCTCAAATGTGCTAAACAGTGAAGTAAACCAAAGTGAACTATGGGTGTGGCGCACCAGAGGATCTGAGCAATGCTGCCTTTTCTATTTTTTTGGATGAGATTGCTCCAATCTATTCGTGGGGAGCAGCACGTGCTGGGAACCGGGCCCAGTGTTCCATATTAAAACATATGGCATCGTTGGAAAGAACATATGAGATACTGGAGCCATTACCCAGCTTCAACTTTAAAATCCTGAAATACTGATTGCTTCAATGAAAATCGAAGCCTAGTTCATAACACCTCCCTGATGAGATGAACACATTCAACCACTTATATTTATAAGGCTGCAATATCTAGCCAAGGGAAAGGAGGGAGGCAGGTCCGGCCTGGGGGGAAAGGAAGGGAGGTCCCTTTCCTCACTCCTGAGCAACCGGTCCCCTATGAGACACCCTCTCACCCTTACTCATCATCACGATCCCAGGTGCATCCCTACTCTCAAGGTCCTACCTCAGTATACCAAGGATCACCACCCATTCTAGTGATCTTTTGACCGCTAGGCGGTTATAGGCATCAGGGCTAAGCAGGTTCTCACCTTCCTCCCCAGCCCTGATTGAAGCACTATCGAACAAGCCATGTCGTACTGGGCACTTCGAGCACTAGGGGTAAGCATGTCACTACAAGTTCCATAGGCGAGCCTTTTTTTTTCTCTCTTAAAAAAACATCTTATTTCAATTTATTTTTTATTTTTTTATTTTATAACTGGAAAGGCCCTTGTGCAAAACCTCTATCCTGGTAGTGGTAAGAGCACCACCGAGATTGAGGCTTTGCCTACCGGGCTACTCCATCTATTGGTGGGGAGCCACACCTGCTGGAAACCGGGTCCAGCGTCCCTTAACATTGAATCCAGATGCACAGTGAGAAAATAACTCCCTGCCAGCATTGATTGCCGTGGGCCTCACGGGATTAACTGAGCAGGGACGGAGGTGGCCAGGAGGGGGCCAAGGGGGGCACCAGGCTCCATGGCATTAGGGCCACCCCTCCCCCTCTTGTCTAGTAATGGTCAAAATGGATAATAAGACAAAACTGAGTGGGCTCCACTGATGCTTGAGTAGTCTGTTGGGACATTTGGAAGCGCTTCGGACCCGCTGCATGCCGAATCCCACTACACCCTTGGTGAAACTCCAACTTTCATGTGCTGGTCCCTGGCCGTTCAGTTGTCTCCTTGTTCTGTCCGGCGGCAGATTCAACCGATACGAAAAATGAAACCAACTGACTGTGCGTCCCCTCCGTCGCGCACCCAGCGAGACCCCTTCTTGCAGGATTTCCGCCACTGACAACGGGTGGTGAGGGAAGGGGTCCCCGAAGTCCTGCGCCAGTCTGAGTGGGAACCCCAAACTTTTTTTTTTTTTTTTTTTTTTTTTGAAAATTTTACTCCAATCTATTGGTGGGGAGCCTAACCTGCTGGAAAATGGGTCCAGAGTCCCTTTTGCATATTGAGAAGAAAGCCAGGAATGAGTAAAGAAAACAGTAAGGTCTTGGCTGCCAGCATTAACTGCTCCGGTAAGCCGGAGGGTTAACTGTGCAGCTGATCTTCCGAGGGTTTTGTCCTGTTCCACCATTGTTGTATTGTCGTACGTGCCTCTAGAGTGGTGTCCGGTCTCCCGAGGGGGGCTGGAGGGCGGGAAAGCTCAGGGCACGGGGAAGATGAGAAATGTAACCATTGCAGAGGTACGATTTTGACTCAGAAAGGCGTGACCTTTTTTTTTCTTCTTTTTTTTCCCCAAAACTTCAGGCTTGGGTGACCTGCTTAGCCAGTTGGTAAGTGCATCCTCGCTAAGCAGGGCCCTGTGTTGAAGGCTCCATCTATTGGTGGGGAGCTGCACCTGCTGGGAACCGGGCCCAGTGTCCCATTATTACATTATTACATTATGTCCGCCTTTTTGTAGCTCTACCAGTTCAGGTGCGCTGAATATAGCATGACCTTGTGACTTGTGGTTCGTATTGACCAGCGACGTTCCTGCCGTACCTACCCCGCCTGCCTCCATTGTGAGGGGTCTGGTACCCCGACTCCTATAGCTCCACTATCCGTCATCCTGTTAAGTCCTGTTAAGACCCTTGATAAGTTGTGTTGACTGTTATTTTGTATCAGCCCCCTTAAACCCTACACCCTAGTCATCAAACCTTTGGAATATTAACTCTTGTGTGACACCCTATGCTCCAACTCTGTTGTCTCACCATTTGCTCCAACTCTGTTGCAGCGGAGCCTTGTCAACCTGTCACCCCTATATGAAGTTATGTTGTCCTTCCTTTCATGTCAGTACCCTTAAACCACCAGTACATGGCCCCAGCCTTGCTGTGCGAAACTCGTCGCCACAAGAAAACGGGGCCGAAACGTCAAACGCAGCGCCCGCCGTCGATAAATTAGATCGGCGGTCGCAGTTTCGTTTCCCGCCTCCAGAATTTGAGGTGTCAGGCCCGCGGCCCAGGTGCCCATGTACTGGTGCTTTAAAACCCACCCTACAGTCATCCGGATCATCGTCTTTTTTGTGGCTCAATCTATATTATAGTCATTGCTGATTGCGCTGTGTTGTTGTCCTATTTTTACCCACGTTGGCTATATCCCCATCTGCCCACCCCGTCTGCTTTGTGCCCCATCTGCCCACCCCGTCTCCTTTGTGCAACGGCTGTCATTAAGCCCACAGATGCTCACACCCTGACTCAGTTCCATATGTCCCCCCATCTCCAACTTATGTTGTCAACAGTTACTCAGTAATAATTATGGAGAGGCCTCAGGAAGCCATTCCGTTGCCCACACAGTATGCCTTGGCACCGTGATATGTCTTCCGAAAGTCTTCAGTACTAGCCATTTGGCCTTCTTATGTCCCAGTCTCTCGTTTGCCAAATTGTGTTCAGACTGCGCATTCCATACCACGTGACCCTATCCCTGTTGCTGTGCCTCCTGATCCCTAGCTGAGGTTCTTGGTTTCTTCAGGAGGGAGTCCCTGCTTGGCCGGCACACAGCGTGAGGGCGTGGGAAGAAGCAGGCGAGGGCCGGGGGAGGGGGGGCGGGGGGGGGGCAAGGAAGTGAATGAAACGGATGGAAAGGGTGAGATGGGGGGGGGGAGGGGGGCAGCAAGGGATCTTCTTAGAGTAGAATGAAATTAGTCGGTTGGAAGGGGTTGGTGAAATGGTCACGTGGTAATCGTTGCCATCGGTTTTCTGTGGACAGCCATGTTTTTCACCTTAGGTGGTTGTGTTGGTCCAGTTCGCAGAGTCTCTCTGCATTGTCCACCCATACTGACCGGAAGCTTGTTCCAAGGTCGTTACGTTCGGTTTCTTCAGGTTCTTTTGCTAGCTTCTGTTTAAGTTCCATTCATGCAGCATGCGTGTTTGTTGTGATTGCTTCAACAACTGTGGCTCTTGCCTCCATATATCCAAATGTGTATTGTTTAAATTGATGGGCACACCTCATCCTCCATGTCGCCATCAGCATTGGCAAGCGAGTGATTTTAAATAGATTATTCAAGAAGGGAGACCACCTGAACGATTGTGGGGGCATTTCTCCCAGGAGGATGGTCTTGAGATCCCATGGCAGGCACTCGCCTGTGAGGTAGTGCCATGCCGCATCCCACCAACCCCACAGTTGGGCTACCATGGGGCAGTCCAAAAAGGCAATTTTTGAGGGAACTTTTCCCACAGAAGATGGAAAGGGGGGAGAGCATCCCGCGTTCTTCAAGGTTTGTTCTTTATTTAATCCCCTCCGGGGTTGGTAAGCATCGGTGGACGATTTGCCATTGGAGGGCTCTGAGGTTAGTTGGTCGGATTCTTGAATATGTTCCCCAGTTGAGCTTATTCAGCTCCTCTGTTTTCAGTGGACCCATGTCGCTTTGATTGGGTGGAAGATCTGTGTTCTTTCCTGGCCTGTCTGTAGTCATTTTTGGCTGTGTACTGCCATATCTGAAGTTTTCTTTCACCGCCCATGTCCCACTCCCATTCCCGCGGGTCGAAGGGCAATTGGCTGATGGGAGTGGCAGGCTCGTACACTCCTCCCACGGGTCTCCCAATGCCTTTGACTCCCAACCTCCACCCAACGTACGACAAAAATGATCAAGTGTACTTTCCACGACGGGTGAGCTGCGATCAGACAACAAAGAGATGTCACGTCGACGAGGATCCAACAAGTAATCTGCTGCGTGTGCCGACTGCCGCATCATCGCACATCTGTCCGCAACAATGTCGAAGACCACCTTCCTCTCGTCCTCCTGCAGGCCCAATACATCTTCCTCTGCAAGATGGACTCCAAATCCCACAACCCTGGGGGTGATGAACCATCGAAGTCCATGACCCTCAAGAAAGTGTAGCAGGGCTCCATCACATCCATCACTTTCTTCACCTGCTGCCACCACCAGTCCGATCTGCAAAGTCTGCGTACCTCCGGCTCGTCCACACGAGCGTCTCCTGCCCATTGGGCATCTCTCCAATGATCAGAGGACACGACCCCATCAAGCACCTTCCTCTGCTCATATAGTCTCTCCAGCATCATATATGCAGTCTCGAACCGTGTGTCAGCCGGGTGTGTCAGGTCCAAGGCGCCTTTCGCGGATCGATAAATATGGAGCGCCTTTTGCTTGTTCCGCATGAACTTGATGATCTTATGCGCTCTCTTCATCACTTCAGCGGCCCATGGCTGTGCCACAATGTCTCTAAGCAGCAAGCTCAAGCAATGCGCCGCGCAAGGGATCCAAGGGATACGTGCGATGGCAGGGTCCGGGTGGTCCTGTAGAATACTCGCTGCAACCTTCATAACCTCCGCATTGTCTGTGCAGATGGCGTTCACATTCTCCACCCCTATGTCATCTCGTATCACCCCCTCCCATATCTCTTCCAAACTCAAGCCTGTCTTGTCTCGTGCCGACATGTCGATGGTGCGGATAAGGATTGGCCCTGATTGCCCTACTGCGATAAAGTTCATTATCGGCTTGTTGCGCTGGTCAGTGGCACCGTCAGTCATCAAGGTGCAGCCGATGTCCTTCTACTTTGCCTTCTTAGGGGCGATGAGTGTTGCAACCTCGTGGTATATAATATCCATCATCCTCGTCCTCACTCCCTCGTACGAGAGCAGGCGTGGTGCTGGTACGATGGACGGCCGCAGAAGTGTGACAATGTAGTCCCAATAGTTTTGTGTCTCCTTCAGCCGCACGCCGCCGCGGTACATTGCAAGTGCCAACAAATGATCAAGATCATTTTGCACCGTGTTTCCCAAAAACGGATCCAAGGTCGTTTGTCTTCCTCGGAGTGTGACCTGCGTGAAGGCAGTCGATGTGGTAGGAGTCTCTCTCGCCCCCCTCTCGTCACCTCCATCCCCCATACCGATGAGCGCCCGCAAATGCTTACGAACATCATCCACGACGTCTCTAGCAGGATAGTCTTGTTGCCCACCATGTGGCCCTGTAGCACCTCTCCCGTCCTCTCCTCCATCGGTTTGTGTCTGCATGGCGGCCGCATCAGCGGGCGCAGTAGTGCCACGTCCAACCAGATCCTCCACAACCAGCTCCTCCTCCATGGCATCTGCATACTCCGTAGCCAACCTCTGCGACAAAGAGTCCCGAAGTTGTGCTCCGTGGCGCTGCAAGCGCCATAGTATCTCAGTCGTCCGTCGAGGGCAATGCACCTTCATTTTCGTGAAGTGTTCCAATGCCCTCGATCATGAACGGGGAAACACCTCGTCGCATAGGCGGCAACGCATGAGGAAGTTTCCACCCCCCACCACACCCCACTCCCGACCTTTAACCACCCGCTGCCAAACCGCATGTGAACGCTTCAAGTCCTCTTGTTTCCAATCAGAAAGAGGCTCGAAGGGTGGGTATGCTGCGGGTCCGCGCCGTCTACTTGTGGACGCGATGGTGTTTACCACCACGAGGCTGCACAAAAACAGCAACTGCTGCGTGCAACAATGCTGATTGAAAGGGTGAGGACGACAACAATATCAGGTGTCGCAATGGACAAGCGAGTGTGTGAGGCAGGCAACAAATATGGAAGTTGCATCCAAGAGCAAACGAAGACCGTACGTTAGTGGAGCAGGACATCAACCACTGGTGTGGCACAATCAACGAAGAATATCAATGAAGGAACCAAAAAGTTAAAGGGAGGAGTTGCTAGAGCTTCGCGTCCAAGAAATACACTGGGAAAGCAAAGCACACCTATCGCCTAGGTATCTATCTATCTACATATCCATCTACTTATCTATCTATCAATTTACATGTCCATCTTTCCATCTAACTATTCGTCTATTTACCCATCTTCCTATCAACCTGCCTACCTACTACCTATCTCCCTGTCTCCCTGTCCCCCTATCTATCTATCCAATTATCTATCTATCTACTTATCTAACCATCACCCTATCTCCTTATCCCCCTATCTATCTATCTATCCATCTATCTATCTATCTATCTATCTATCTATTTATCTATCTATCTATCTATCTATCTATCTATCTATCTATCTATCTATCTATCTATCTATACATCTATCTATACATCTATCTATGTTTGTAATGTAATCTATCTATCTATGTATCTCCCTATCTTCATATCTGTCTGTCCACCTATCTATTTATGTGCGTATCCATCTATCTACCTATGTTCCTATCTCCATATCTGCATACCTCTCTATCTACTCATCTAGCTATATACCTATGCACCTACATATCTCCCCATCTATCTATCTATCTGTCTTCCTACCGACCTATCCACCTGTCTCCATATCTCCCTATCTCCCCATCTACCTATCAAAACTATCACCAATCAATCAATCGTTCAATCAATCAATCAATCAATCAATCAATCAATCAATCAATCAATCAATCAATCAATCAATCAATCAATCAATCAATCGTTCAAATCGAATCCAATCAAAAGATTGGATTGGGATTGATTGATTGATTGATTGATTGATTGATTGATTGATTGATTGATTGATTGATTGATTGATTGATTGATTGAAAGCAGGTGGAGGATGAGGAGTACAGCGAAGAGGAGGATGAGGGGAGGGAGACGAAGGACGAGGAGTACAGAGAAGAGGAGGAGGAGGAGGATGACGATGACGAGCAAGAATAAAGAAGATGATGAGGAGGAGGACGACGACGACGACGAGCAAGAAAAAGAAGACGAGGAGGAGGAGGAGGAGGAGGAGGAGGACAGCGATGGAGATGAAGAAGAGGAGGAGGAGGACAAGGAGGAGGAGGAGGACAACGGCAGCGATGGACGGCGCCGACGAGGAGGAGGTGAAGGACTAGGAGGAGAAAGAAGATGAGGAGAAGAAGGAGGAGGAGGAGAAGGACGAGGAGAAGGAGGAGGAGGACTAGGAGGACTAGGAGGACTAGGAGGAGGAGGAGGAGGAGGAGGAGATGGAGAAGGAGGAAAAGATGAGGAGGAGGAGGAGGAGGAGGAGGAGAAGGAGGAGGAGAAGGAGGAGGATGACGAAGAAGAAGAAGAGGAGGAGGATGACGACGAAAAAGAAGAGAAGGGTTAAGAGGAGGAGGGGCGCTGCAAGTTGCATGATTAAAAAAATAATAATAATAAAAAAAATCGGGAGGAACGGTGGAAGTCCGATTTCCACTATTCCTCCCACCCTCTCTTTCTTTTATCAATCAATCAATCAATCAATCAATCAATCAATCAATCAATCAATCAATCAATCAATCAATCAATCAATCAATCGTTCAATCCCAATCCAATCAATAGATTGATTGATTGATTGATTGATTGATTGATTGATTGATTGATTGATTGATTGAAAGCAGGCGGAGGAAGAGGAGTGCAGCGAAGAGGAGGGGAGGAGCTGGAGGGGAGGGAGCCGGAGGATGACGAGTACAGAGAAGAGGAGGAGGAGGAGGACGATGACGGCGAGCAAGAAAAAGAAGATGAGGAGGAGGAGGAGGAGGAGGAGGACAACGGCAGCGACAGACGGCGCCGACGAGGAGGACGTGAAGGACTAGAAGGAGACAGAAGATGAAGAGAAGGAGGAGGAGGAGGAGGAGGAGGAGAAGGACGAGGAGGAGGAGAAGGACTAGGAGGACTAGGAGGAGAAGGAGAAGGAGGAGGAGATGGAGAAGGAGGAGAATATGAGGAGGAGGAGGAGGAGGAGAAGGAGGAGAAGGAGGAGAAGGAGGAGAAGGAGGAGAAGGAGGAGGATGACGAAGAAGAAGAAGAGGAGGAGGATGACAACAAAAAAGAAGAGAAGGGTTAAGAGGAGAAGGGGCGCTGCAAGTTGGGGAAAATGCATGATTAAAAAAAAAAAAAAAAAAAAAGATCGGGAGGAACGGTGGAAGTCCGATTTCCACTATTCCTCCCACCCTCTCTTTTTTTTATCAATCAATCAATCAATCAATCGTTGATTGGATTGGATCTTGAAAATCCAATCGATCGATTGGATTTTCTTTTTTTTAAAACACACACACACACACACACACACAGAGCCCCTTCTATTCTGGGGGGCGGTAGTCCAGTTGCTTATCACCGGCAAGCAGACAAGCATTTGAAAGAAGAAACAGACAGCACAGACAGCGAAGGTTTTTCGGGGGTTCTCAGCCCGGGACAGCGTCCCAGACCACCTGCGTCAGTTCGTGATGGCTGCTGAACTCGGTTCCCCTTGCCCTTCGGCGGGGTGTCGCCGGGAGGCATCATGCACCCAGCTGCCACACCCCACCCAAGGGGTCTGAGCCCGCTAGACCAGCCTCTCTCCCCTCGCTCCCCCCATGTAGAAAAAATCTATTCTTCTACTTCCCTTCCCTCATCCCATTATCCCATTGTATCCCCCATTTCACGTCTTTCTCCTGTAGAAAAAGTAACTTTACCTCCACTGGTGCCCCCCGGTGGTCCCCCTCCCAGTACCCGACTGTGGGGCTGGATAGGCAGGGAAGAGTAGATTGCATATGGGACGCTAGTCTCAGAATGTTTCAGCTGACTGCAGCGGATTGCAGCGGATTTCAGCGCAGCTCAGTCTGTTTTCTGTTGCTCCTTGTTTTTCCAGTCCTTCCAGTTTTTTGCAGTTGTCCAGTGTGCTCCAATTTTGCTTCAGTTTGTTTCAGCTGCTTCAGTTTGTTTCAGCTGCTTCAGTTGTTTCCAAACATTTGCTACTACACATGTGCAAGACACAATAGGCGCCAAGAGGAGAGTAGAGGATAGTAGGTGGCTGGCTGAGGCTAGGGGGGGGAGGGAGACCCCACTGGTGCCCCCCGGTGGTCCCCCTCCCAATACCCGACTGTGGGGCAGGATAGGCAGGGATGAGTAGATTGAATATGGGACGCTGAACCCAGTTTCCAGCACATTGGTGTCACTTGCATTGACGTGTTGGTTTGCAAAGATGTACTCATGGGACGCTGGACCCCGTTTCCAGCAGGTGCTGCTCCCCACCAATAGATGGAGCGGCCCGCTAGGCAAAGCCTCAATCCTGGTGGTTCTCTTACCACCACCAGGATAGAGGTCTTGCGCAAGGGCCTCAACAAAAAACAAAAAAAAAAAAAAAA